GGAAAAGCTCCCTGCCTTCCAGGGGCCCCTGCTCTGCTATCAGGAAACCCTTCCTCCAGCCCTCAGCCCCCCCATCTCCCACGGACCAACCCTCCCCCACCTGGTGGGTCGCCATCCCTCTGTCCAGCTCCAGGGGTGCCTCACCTGGGACTGACGTCGCCCGCAATGTCTGCGAGGTCATCCAGCTGTGCCACCTGCTCCAGCGTGGCCGCCTGGCCGTGGGCTCTCACCGCCCCCAGGACCTTCTTCAGGCAGGCCCTGGCGGCCTTCACCAGCCCCACACAGGGGCCAAGGAGCTGCCGGTCAGCCTCCGACCAGTAGACATCCTTGTTTCCCCGGGAGCCCACCTCCTCGTCCTCCAGGACATCTCCGTAAGGGTCTCCCCCTTCCGCCTGCGCCTGCACAGAAAGGCCCACAGCGCGTCGCTAGCAGCAGCCCCCTAGGGTTGGGGGTCTGGGGACCCAGAAGGAAACACCCGGAAGGAACGGGAGGCCGTGGCAGGAAGAAGTTCTCCCGCAACCCGGCGAAGCTCACCGCGTGGCGCGTCAGCCCAGGGTCGCCTCCAGGGTCACCAGGCAGGCAAGCCGTGACGACACCACCCCCCACGGTTCCCAGGCACAACATCAGCTCCTCTGGATCACCTCTGCTGCCGAGGGGGGCGGGGGCTCGTCAAAGATCACCCCCTCCCTCCCGCCTGCCTGCCTGGAGAGGACAGGCTGCGCTCCCTGGCTGCTTGGCCCAATCCATCCTCGAGGCTTTAGCCACACTCAGGAGGTGCTCAGCTTCTTATCTTGCAGCACCAGGCTTCTCGGCCTCAACCCGCTCCACCTGACATGGTCCAAGGGTGTTTCTCCCACTCCCTCCCTGCCTCCGTCCTCCTCAAGAGCAATTAATGATGCAGCTCTCAGGAGCTGGACTCTATGTGCAAAAAAGGCAGAAGCAGCTGCGCCGGCCCTTGGGTCCGGGGACCTCCCGTCCCTGCCCTCGCCCCCTGCCCCCCTGCACACCTTCCCTTCCTGGGGCAGAGAGATGGGAAGCAGTGGCCTTCTCTTACCTGCTCCATCTCCTCCAGAGCATCTTTGACAATCCCCAGGCAGGAAGAGATGGCCAAGGTGGCGGCTGCCTGGTTATCTGCATGGAGAGAACAGGATGAGGCCAAGCAGGAGGTGCCCAGGGCGCCCAAGGAGTCCCCCCCCATCACCACCGCCATGAGATGGAAAGGAGGCTCCTCCCCATGAGCCCTCACGCACCTCGAGGCAGGCTGGAAACTCGGTCACACGCCTCCCAAACACCCCCGGTTGAGACAAGCTGGTCCCGAGAGAGGCTGCAAGAAGAGAGGAAGCAGTGGCAGTTGGAGGAGGGCCTTGTCCAGCCAGGTGAGGAAGGAGGAAGCACGCAAAAGCCCATCAATCACATTGACAGGCCATCTCCCCCCCCCCTTATCACAACAATACGACCATAACAAAAAACATCCTGATCACCATAATCACCCCATCTCCTGAAAAGGACAAAAAGCTGATCCCACAGCTACAAACACTCAACTATCCCACACATGACACTAGAACACAGACGGAGTTCTGACTCCCGTCCTCTAAAGATGCCAGCCACAGAGACGCGCAAAATGTTAGGAAGGAAAACCTCCAGAATACGGCCAAACAGCCCGAAAAACCTACAACAACCAAAGGAGGAAGCCCCCCCCCAGCACACGTCACCCTGTGGAGGAAGCACTTCTGGGCATTTCCTGGGCGATGAAAACACCGGCCGAGGAGGCACCCCAGCAGGCCGGGGCTCACCTCTGCAGGGGGGTCCGGAGGATGACCTCTGTGAGCTGGATCATGCCCTCCACCACCTCCACCGTGGCCTCCCGCACCGCTCGGCGCAGGGTGGTCCCTGGGGAAGGCAGAAGGAGTGTTGGCCCCCATCTCCCAGTCTCGGCCCCTCACGTTCCCCTGCCCACCCACCCCCCATGGCACCTCTGGGACCGACG